TAGAACAGAAGTGTGGGGTCACATTCCTTCTGTGCACGTGAGGATGCTGAGAGTCATTACAGCTGCAGGAGTGGAGATCAGGACTGCCATGCACCACTACCAGAATGTTCCTCTTTGCAGCTTAGTGGAACCTTACATCTGACACCTTTGATGTCATGCAGGAGGAGTATGAAACAGCATTTCTGGTCCCTGAGTAGGGATTTATTTGCAGTGATAGGCAGTGGCTACTGACTGTATCTTCATCTCCGTTCTTGTCATCTTAATTCCAGATTGCTGTGCTGATCGTTAAACGTTGACTGAGCTGCTGCTTCTGTTGCATGGGTGTTTGTTGTAACCTCTCAGCCCATAGGTAGCTGTCTGTCTTCTTTAAAGCTGCCCTTTTGCAGTTAATATGTTATTTCAATGAGTTAATAATTCTTCCCAGTCTTCTGAAATTCTCGAGTTGGCTGCCTGACCACAAATGGTCATTCTCCCGTAAGCTGTGTTTGATTCCATTGTGCTGTAATAGAAAGCTGAAGAGACAAAATACTGTGCAGCTCATTTTTAACATAACTCAGATTTTTACATAAAAAGGAGCGCTGTCTTTGTAGGCAGCTTTTTAGATGTTAAGGAATTTATCATTTCAATAATCTGAGACGGTAGCTTCATACGGTGCCTTCAGTCTTGGGAGAAAAATGTTCTCTGAAGTTTTCTAGTTGTATTATTAAACTTTGTTTCTGGTAAGAAAATATGATAAGCATAATATATATCATGCTCAAATGTTGGAGTGATTGTCTGATTCTTCCTCACATGGAATCTATATTGTCCCACCCTTCCCCATCTTTATTGGCCTTTCTCTTCTTGCTTTATTGGTGCCCGTAGCCCAGCTGACAGCGTATTTGCAAAGTGCTTATTGTATTGATAGCAGAAAGAAGTTGACAGAGCAAATGTTCTCGTGGCCTCAGGTCAGCCTCAAATCATCTCTTTCAGAAGCTGACAGCCATCACTGCTGCCTGTGTGCCATGGGGTTCATGGTTTGGGGAGGGTCACAGCTTTCCTGATGCAACTTCATGATGGAAGATGAGCTGTTATACTGCATAGTGGTGGGAGGCCCATCTGCGTGGTCTTTCAAGGAAGTATCTCCAGCTGAAGTCCCAGTGGCTTGTTTCTGTGAGTGCTGGGATTCAGTCTTATTCAGAGCTCCTTCACCATCAGCTCATTGCTCTGGTCCATCAGCAGCCTGTTTCTGGAAATTAAGAAAAGGAAAAAAAGGCATTCACAATTTATTTGTGAACAATAAATTGTGACCTTTCTGTGTTCTGATACTGAGTCAGCGTGATAGAGGAAAAAGGCTCACAACTTTGTGTGTGCTGGAGTTTGTTAACTAAATCCAGTGAAACATTCAGCGCTGAAATAACTGAGTTGTTTTAGTTTGCGTTTTATTTTACAGTGAAGGGAGAAAGAGGAAATAGAGATTTAAGTGATAAAATGGAAGCGAGGTAAAATAGAGAATGGGGAGAAGCCTTGCATTTGGGACAGGATTGCCCGTTCCTTTTCCCAGAAGCAGGGCTGTCTTTATGGGAGTGGATGCTCACAAAGGCAGATGTGAAGCTTCCCGAGGCTGAGATGTGTGAATCAGAATTCCAGCTCTGACCTTTCGATGCCTCTGATTTCCATTCCAGTTGTTGAGATCTTATGATTAACCCAATGAAGTAATGTTTAATCATTTAACCTTCCTTCGCCTGTGTTGCAGCAGTCACAGGAAATCTATTTCCAAACCAAAATAACAAATCATCTTTGAGAGGAACATAGTGAGCAAAAGTGTCCCGAATCACGGTAGGGAATGAATCACGTTGAGCTGAGAGTCGGGTCCGGTCCGTGTGCTCTAATTTTGGGGGATATGTTGTGCCTGTAAGTAGCTGATTTTTTTTATGACTTTCTCTGATTTCTTTTATTTTTTTTTAAAGCAGTAAATAATGGAAATTGTTTGGCTTTTATTTGGAATGCTTAGAAAAAAAAAAAAATTAGCGAAAAGATTGTTCCCCGTGCAGGGTTTGGAACAGCAAAAAATCTGTTGTGAAATAGGTAAAAGTTGTGAAACTGGAGATCGTATTCTCTGAGAAATGAAACTTGGAAGGTTTTTTTTTTTATTATTGCAGATGTCGCAAAGATTTGACTAATGAAATGTAAGGGAGCAAACGAGCAGAACTGAACCTGTTTACATTGAAGTAAATGTGGAGACTCAAAGATATACTTTTGTTGTGACCTTGTTGTGTACATTACCATGTAAATTATTTCTATCTGTGACGACACCACATCATGGGAAATGGGAAAAAATGTCCCAAATTTATCTTTTTTGGCTTATTTAGAAAGTTTGGAACAGAAAGAGAAATTCCCCAGTGCAGTTTGAAGGACCATCGCTGTGCTTTCTGTGGGTCCCTGTGTAACAAATAAGGAATGTGGAATAAAGAAATAAAACAAAAAACCCCACAAACTATTAAAAAAAAAAAAAAAAAGAATCTAAGTTTTAAATTAAAAATAAAAACTCATAAATTAATGAGGTGACAAAAAATGGTCACAACTTATTTGTTTCAGGAAAAAAAGAAATAATCTGTTGCCCTCTTTGCAGCACTTTGGTTTTAAAGCAGGTCCTGTTGTTAGCTGGAGGTGAGCAGAGGGGATTTCAGGCAGCCTGGCATTTTGCAGCTGTGCAGCAATCCTTGAGGAGAGCTGTTTGCTGTTCAGAAATGTGACCAAACCGATGCCCTGTGCAGACATGAAGGTGATACAGTCAGCCTGTATGGAGTTGTGGTGTATTGAATAATTGCAGTATGTTGAGTCAAATGAGAATTACACCTTACAGCTTTATTAAACCAGCCAGACTGCAAGTGTTAATATATAGATCTCCTGCTAAAGAGTTCATTTCCAGCTTGTGAGCAGTAATACAGAAGTGCACAGGTAATGGGTCTGTGTGTTAAAATGAGAACATTAACTTCATCCATTGAAATATAGTGTGGATGTATCTGGACGATGGGATTGTTTTATTTCAAACATCCTTTATGATGAGATTTACAAAGCTGTGAAAAATTCTGGCTTGTTTTGTGAAAGTGCAAGTTGTGTTTTCATTGTGAGCATCGTGAAATGTGGTGGAAAAAAAAATTAGGAACTGAAAAGGCCATGGTCACATTCAGCTCAGTTAGTTTGGGGCAGACATCTTATGAAATCCCTGCAGAGCAGGCACTGCTCACCTTAGCAAAGAAGAAATTCTATATTGGAAGGACAGCATTACTGTTATGTTTAGTAACTTTTTCACTTCAAACAGCGCTGAAAATGTATTGCTGTTTTAGCTGTAGGTGTAGGAATAGGAATACACGCTGCCTCCTCCACGTGTGGGGTTTATTTCCTTTCCTTCTAGCTGCAATCACACCACAGTGCTGCATCCTTTGCAGTTCACATCCCAGGTGCTCCGTGGGGCTGAGTGCTGCTCACTCCATCTGCACTCAGCTCTCCTTCGGCTGCTTTGGGTTGTTAGATGTAAAACCACCATGAGGGAATTGTAGTTTGGGAAGGAGCAGCCCTCGATGTTGCAAGATTTTTGAACTTAGCTCACTGCTAAGCTATGGGATTTTGGTATAAGTAGCAACGTTTGTCAAAAGATGTTTGTAAATCGTTGTGAGACATTCACAGACCAGGATGTGTCATCCTGAGGTGTTGCTCCATGTTAGAGATAGCAAATCTGTGCCTTTGGGGTTCTTCTAAAAACCTTTCATATTCTGCTGAGGTTAGAAAGATGTAGGAAGTCTCATTTCTTCAGCTTTTTCCTTTAAGTTGCAGTATTTAATTTATTGGATTTTATTATGAAATTATTATGAATTCTGGTGTCAATAAGATTTCTCTTGAGAAGCTGTTAACGATTTTTACAGCTTTGAAGTGTTGATAAACTGCTGCTTGAAGAGGGTATAAAAGCACAGCAGATGGCATCATCTCAGGTCTTAACCTGGCACGAGAAGAGATGTCTGTTGTTTGGTTCAGGATTCAAATAATAAGCAAACATGAAGCAGTGGTGGATGATTTGCTGGTATGCGGTGTTGGAGGTTTTGGCAGAACTGTAACAGTTCCAGCTGCAGAAGTTGAATTGTTCTGGATTCTTCTGTAGTTGTCTCACAGTGGAAAATTGAGAACGTTATTAATTACTGATCAAAGTCACTTCTTCGTTAAATGTATCAAAGATAACAAAGGGATGCAGGTTTTGTAACTGCTGTTGCAGTGCCTGTGCAGGTAATCCTGATCCTACTTAACTTCTTGGGCACTTTTGCCTCCAAAGACTTTTCCTCTCCCCTAATTCAGATGAACGTACAATACCTGTGAGAATCTTCATGTTTGCTTTTGAAAAAGGTTTACTGTTTACATGGGAGATGCTGACACTCTGGAGTTTGCTGTGAGTAAAAGCAGGTAATGCATTCTCAGCATGGCTTCATAAAGAGGAGCTCAGATCTCTTACAGTCCTTCGGTTCTGCCACCTTTCTTTTATAGCAGCCTAAATGTAACTCTGCAGATGTAGTGAACTTTGCAGTTCTGTTTTGGAATTAGCTGTTTTGAAAAAGGTCCCGGGTTTGCAGACAGATAATGGGATTGTTGTATTCTGGCTTTGTTTTGGGAAAATAACTTTTGTTTTTGTGAATGATATGGAAGGAATTAATTCCTTTTGCTTGGTTAAGGAATAAGGTTGTAGGGACACTGGGAATACAAAGATACAGGGAAAGAAGCATTAGAAACGTGTTTCCATAGTAATTGAACTCATTGCTGCTTGCAGAATTTTGAAGAGCCATCTCTGGAAGGAGCACCAAAAACTCAGAATGTGTGAGGATTTGACACTGACCATCTCTCTCTTCCCTCTAAGGACAGAATTTCAGTTTGGCCTTTTTTTATTACTGACAAAGTCCCAAAGCAATCACGTACATTTTGAGGTGTGTTCAGTTTAGGATTTGTCTCACTAATAACATTCTCCTTTTTGTTTGCAGGATTTTGCTTCCCGGGCTAAGCTGGCTGTCCAGAACCTGGTACAGAAAGTTGGGTTCTTCGGCATTCTGGCCTGCGCCTCCGTAAGTGCACTGCAGTGACAGAGGGGTTGTGATCACACGTTGCAGGCTGACTGTGGCACAGTGAGGTTAATGCTCTGAGCTGTGTTTTGTTTGAATCCATATGGATCTTTGCATCTTGTTTGCTATTTGTGTTCTCAGTGCTGCGCAGGGAAATGGGATGGTTGTGGTGTGGCAAGTACAATAGGATGGAGAAACTCCAGTCCTAGATTAGTACCAAACACAGTGAATTCTGCATGAATGCACAGCTGACAGTAGTTACCCTTCCTTCAGCTTTACCTTTGGGCTTCATGACGCTAGTTCTCCTGGCAAAGTAGTGCCTTTGGAATACCAAAGTTTCCTTTTTAATCCATCAGAAGAGTACTGTGCCACAGAGGATCTCCTCAGTTCCTGGGTGGCTTTTTTTGTAGAACAGCTCATTCTGTAGTTTAGCATGGCACAGGGAAACCTGCTTAAAAGAGTTAGTTCACTCAGGATGCAAGCAGCTTCTTGCAGCAGGCTTAGATAGAACTGAGCTAAGGTTCCCAAAATTGACCAAGTGTCAAATGCATGCTGCAGCTCCCTGCTCTGTTGGTGGGTGTCTGGCAGATCAGATCGTGTGCCCCTGACAGCTCTCCTGTTGTGACTTTCCCAGCCCAGATTATTAGCTGACAAGTTACAGCAAGAGCTATATTGTTCCCTGTAGCTCCTTCTGGAATTGTTACCTACAGTTTCTGCTGGAATTGCTGTACCTACATTTAGTTTCTGCTGTTTCTTCAGATGTTTGTGTCATGTGGCTTGACATTTTCAGATTCAAAGATAAACACCAATTGAAAGTGACCTGTACAAACCCTGACTGGGATAGCCATCCATAGTAGTTCTCATAAATCTGCTCAGGAGGTGTCAGTGGGTTATTAGGAGCTGGGAGGAGCAGAATGCAGCAGACAGTTTCAGCCATGGCTATCTGAAATGCTTGTTGATTTCTTTCTCTAAGACAGACATGGTATAAGCATTTCCACTGATGCTATTTTGGTGCTTGAAGTAGGCTAATACTGTTCTTTTGAGTTACTGTCTGAGGTTTAAATCTCTCTGGAAGCTCGACGAGAACAAGTAGGAATGATGTGCCTTACTCTCCAATCCCACACACAAACGCACAGAAATGTGATTACTGCAAAGAGGAGAATTGTTAGGTCCCCTATGATCCCATTCTTCAGGAATAACCACAGCCATTAGCCAGCTGCTCAGCTGATGAGGTATTAATTCCACACTTGTCTAGCATCTCTCTTAGTTTCCTAAATTGTAGAGATGGCAATGTTAGCTATTTGTTCAAATGTAAGTAACCTGTGTTAGCTGGAAAGAATTAAGCTGATTACAGCTGCTGGCACACAACTTCTGTTTACTAATCTTTTGAACTGCCTTAATGTTTAGAGTGGAGATGTAGGTTACAAGCTGTTCCTTAAGTCTTTCCGTCCTGTGAGCTGTGAGGCTGCTCCTGCACTCTGACTCACTGCTCTGCAGTCACCATCTTGTGAGCCATCCCCTCGTCTGTCTGTCTTGTGTAACAAGAGCAGCTTGTGGTCAGCAGGATGAGTTTCTGGGGGAGCTGGACGAGGTGGAATGTGAACAAATAGGGAACGTGAGGAAGGATTGCTAGATGGGAGAGGTGATGTGTAAGCTCTCCATAGTTCCTGCTTAGTGATAAACATTTGCTTAACTTCTTCCCTACTTGGTGCACTGTTCCTCCGTGTGCCCTGAGCTCCAGCTTCCTTCTGCTTATATGCAGCCTGCCCTGAGCTGGGGGAGGGATGGGAAGTCGTGGATCCACCACAGTGCACTTGAGGACTTGTAAACGTTGGTTGCAGAATAAATGCAGAGCAGCAGCAAGCAGAGAGGTGAAGTGTGGGAGGAGGCATTAAAAAAAGCATAGGGATTCCAAGCTGTAATGGCTTCTAAATGCTACATAAAAACACAGTCAAATAGAGTTTAAAACTTTGCAAATGTATGCAGTGAAATCAACTTGAGTGTAACATGCAGTGGCAATAGGAAAACCATATTATTGTCTTAGGCCTAATTGCTATGTAAAGGCAGCTCTGGGAAAGGAATGGAACAAGGAAGAGATTCTTACTGTGGTTGCTAGGAATTTGTGAGTGTGCCCTCCTGTCTCTGTGGGTGTTTTTGGCACTTCTCAGTACTGCACATGTGTGTGGTTTTTTTTTTAAAAAAAAAGCAAAAGGGGAGAGCCCCTCACTGGCCAGCTCATACAACCCAATGTGCACAACCCAACATGCAACCCAACAGCTAAGTCATCTTTTTACTGTGACACGTTTAATGTGTTGGTGGTATGCACAGGTACCCGTACCAAAGCATGCTGCTCTTTCTATGCTGATAGCAACACAGTAATTAAAACACTCTGTGAATTTATTGAGGTGGGGAAAACCCAAAGCAACCAGCCAAGGAGATAGCTGAGCCCTAGAGCAGGCAGTGGTGTGGGTAACTCATTTACCATCCTCCTGTGCCCGAGACAGATGTCAGAGGTGAAGAGGATTTGAGTTAAGTGGGGCATATTTAAAGACCGTTTCGGATTTCTTCCTATGCAGGTGGTGGTGTGGGTGCTCATAAATTTGAATTGCCTGTCTGTTACAGCTAAGTATAACCCCAGAGCTTTGTCACAGATTTCAGATTACCATTCTCTACTTTTTATGATCTTAAATATCTACACTACATATTTGTTAGTGCAACAGTGCTACTGTGAATTAAGCATCCCCCTGCGTTACTCTGACAGAGTGTGAGAGGTTGGAATTTGGATTCTTTTTGGTTTAAGTTCAGAAATATTGCACAGACAGTATCACAATACCAAATGTCAAGCCAAGGGCTTAACAATAAAAAAAAAAGATTCTAATTTTAAATTAAATGCATATGCTTAATAAAAATCTCATCAGTGCTTTTAAACTGGATGCATATGACTCTAAATGCCAATTTTTAATGCACTTTCTCAGATGGAAATCACTGGAGATGGTTTGAACACTGGCTTCCAGGAGCGATGTGCTTGTCAGGGGGGAATTTGATAAATCACTCAGAATGGCTTTGCTGTGGTTTCTGTGCATTTCACAGGGAAGACTTTTTTTAGGCTTCTTTAAAATCAAGGGGTAAGGAGGGACCTTCAGGGTGGAATGGTCTGCGACATGTCTAGCTGAATCCCTCAGACTTATGGGTTGTAATGCTCTTATTTTTGTGAGTAGTGAGACACGAGAGTTTTGGATCAAGTCGAATAAGGGGGAAAAGTTCATTTTTCCTGCTCCTGTTCTTTAAGTAAAACACTTCAATGCATGCCCTTTTTTCCTTTGTACTTTATAGATTCCCAACCCTCTGTTTGACCTGGCCGGGATAACATGTGGACACTTTCTGGTTCCCTTCTGGACCTTCTTTGGGGCCACTCTGATTGGGAAAGCAGTAATTAAAATGCACATCCAGGCAAGTACATGCTCCACCTCCCTCCAGCCTCTGGGCTGAAGGCTTTTCTTACTCTTCTTTTTCTTTTGACTGTTACACTGTGTTACTTCGTAATGAACTGTGGAGTCTCCTTTCCTGACCTGAAGTAATGGAAATTAATTTGGTGCAGAGGATTTACAATAAAGGATCTGCTAGGCTTCTCACACTCGAAACTTAGGCAACTGAATAATTTATAGCTACAAACTAATGAGCTCACTGCCCACACCGCTCAGGAAATTGGTGGTTAGCCAAGTTATTTACCTACGGTTTTTACCAGACTGAAAGGAGTTCGTGCTCACAATGAACTTAATTTTGGTAAGAAATACTCATTTCAGAGGGCAGTGAAGCTAGCCTTTACCAGTTAAGTGGCACTTTTAAATGCTCCCTTTTGTCCAAATATAGGGAAAACCCCACTCCTTTCATTCCCTGCCCCCTGCAGAAAGCACTCTGGGTATATCTCTGAGACTGTTGTCCATCGTTTCCAGGCGTGGTTAGCAATTTTTGGTGTTCTCAGTCTGTTCTTTTCAAAGGGCCTGATTTCAGAGAGGGCCTCTTCGATTTTTTTCTTGCGAATTCAGAGTCTTACTGGATGTTCTGAATTTGGCAATCAGAATCCCAGATTGCTTTCAGAAATGTTGAGTCTTGCTTTTAAAATGCATCACCGTTTTGTCCAATGAAAGATGAAGTATCGATCCCCCAGTGATGGTTCACTTGTGGCAGCATGGTTAGCACGAGATCATGAACTACAGCACTCCATTTGCAATGATTAGAGCCTGAGATTTCAGCTCGGGCTTTTTTAAAGCATCTCCATAGGTCCGTGCCTGTAGCTTTGTTCCTTGGTAGTCTTTGCTGTCACTACTTTAAAATAACAGAAACTGTCAGCAGCTTACTCATCTAGCACCCATATGAAGCTGCTTCAAAAGTTCTTCCTTTTCCCCTAAGCAGAGGCTTTATTCCTCCACTCTCTCTTCCCATCTTTTTGTAAATGGTTATTTTGCTTCGCACACTTTTTCAACAGAAGATAACAAAAAGATGGGAACATTCTTTCACTTACTGTGACAGAACTGCTTTTTCTCCATATTTATTTATGAATTCCCTGAATTCTTCTCCTTTTAAACACATGTGCTGTTAGAATTTGGCAAATTGAAAACTGAAATGGCATTTGGAAAATACTTCTTTCATTTGCTTCAGTTAGGTAGAAGAATGTTTGCTGTGTAGTTCATGGTGCTCTGCACGGATCAAATGTAGGGTTAAAAAAAAAATCTTGTCTCTTGCAGTGTTGGAAAATCATCCTATTTTGTAATAGTTTTGCTCTTAGAATTCTGTGTGATGTTTGATTTCAAATATACTCTTGTGCAATAGCCCTGATTTTTGCAGCTATCTTGCTGCAATTTGGAATTTAGGAAATGTCATGGTCATAGAAGAGGTTTTTGATGAAACCTTTCTCCGGACAGGAAGGAAGTGAGCACGGTGGCTGTCCTGGAGCTGCCTGTAACTGACCTCTTCTTCTGGGCCACAAAATCATTTCATACAGTTGTGGTCACTGCCCTTATCTCCCCACTAGTGAATGCATTTCTCGTTAGATCATGCTGAAATTGATTTAAGGAGGCTGTGGGAACTGTTTGCCTGTATAGGCACATCCACACACGGTCTTGCTCGCTTTTTGCAAACAAACAAGTTGTCAGACACAACAGAAGAGAAATCAGAAAAAGCTACTTTAGATAAATTATCACTTTAGAAGGGAGAGGTAGAATTACAGATATTTGGACTTTATGCAAACTGAGCCACGTGTTCCAGAATTATTCTGTTTCAAATTATCTCCTGCCTTACAGACTGTTCTGAGTGGGTAGGCAGCCGGGGGCTCTCGCTTCACTCTCCGCTTTGTGTTTCTTTGGGAGGGTTCTCACATGAACATGGGGACTAAAAGATGTATAATGTTCAGTTCTGTGATCTTTAAGTCCATGTGTTTGTGTAAGGGGATGTGAACTCTTCTGTGCAGTGATGACTGTTTTTCCATTAAAACATTGTTGATGGAGTAAAGTGACCTTGAGCTTCTGGGAATGTAAGCTTGGGGAGGATGCGTATGGCTGGTAACACAGGCTACAAAAACATTGCAAGAAATGACATCCATGAGGAAATAGAGTAATAAAGCAAATAGTTCTCCTCTCTTCTCTATTTTTGAAAAGTGTACTGAAAAGCAGACAAGTGAGGGTAAAGCTTTGTCTGAGTGCTAGAGAAGCTGTTTGATCAGAAAGGAGCACAAGTCGTCTTGTTCCATTCTTTGCTTGCCCTTCAATCAAACATTTCTCTAACTGATGTTTTCCTTCCTACAGAAACTTTTCGTTATTATAACATTCAGCAAACACATAGTGGAGCAGATGGTGTCCCTCATTGGGTGAGTAACTCTTCAGCACAGTCATGCCTTCGCTCAGTAGATGGAAAAGTACTGGAGGAGTCGAATCAGATGCACTGAAAATGGTGCTGTGCTTCTGGGTTAGGTCTTGTTTGTCACTGCATTCCTCACCTCAGAGGTTTCAAGTACTTCAAGTGTAACAGCGTTGAAGGTCAGATGGCCTGGATATGTAATAAATCCATTGAGCTTCGACCCAGCAACACGATACTGCTATCCCAGCTATAGATTGCTACACTTTGAGCTGCAAGTGCTGTTCTTGATGGTTTTCCTCAGTGTTGTATGTGATCCCATAACAAAAAAATGACAGTTGTTGGGATTTATGCAGTGTTTCAATAATAATAACAAACACCTTCTGAAATTTAAACTGCATTATAGCTATAAAATCTATTGAATCTCTCATAGAACAACATTTCCAGTCTGGTAATCTAGCAGATGAAATCTTGGCAATACCTGTTTAACTGTGGAGAACTTTGTTGAACTTGAATGCAAACAAACACGCAACTCATTCATCTTTAATGCATTAAATGAGGATCAAATTAGAAGAATTTCATTTTAAAAATTGGGCTTAATTCTTAAAAGGAGCAGTTGTGCTCGGGTTGAAAGCTGTGGCCATTTTTTCATTACAGTGCTTGATTTCTGCAATATCAGGGATGGAGGTTTAGAACTTTGAATACGATTAACATTTAAATAGAAAACTTATTTTTGATGATGGTGGGTTTTTTTTAGTTTCTGTTTTATGGATATCCCAAGCATAAAATAAATTCCTAGCTGTGCTTCCTTTTCCAGAGGCTTTCACTTTTCATGTGGAACAAATTGATTGATATTTTGCTCCCAAACTTTAATTGCTCTGTTCACGTTTAAACAACCGAACAACAACAACAAAAAAGCCACACTGCTCAGGAACATTTTCACAAGAGGGGTGTCTGGAAATAATTGCTCTTAAAGTATGTAAACTTGAAGTAGTAATGCTGTACAAAGGAAAAGGAGTGTCGAAAGAAACATGGTAGGGCAGCTTAGTAATGAAACAAATCCCAGCTTTATTACTTCCTCATCTTCTGATCGGGTGTCTGGTTTGTAACAGCCTTCAGAATTAATTTGTGGCTTTCAGCATTTTTAAAAAGAAAACAAGGGAAACACGGTGACTTTTAGCAATCGTTAGTTAGCTTCTCTTAATACGTATTCCAGCAGATAACTTAATAGATTTGTAGCAGTGTTACTAGGTATGTTTCCAAAGGTTTTTCTCTCCTGCAAATCTTTGAGCCAAAACTGGTAGTTTTTTCCTACTTCATCTGTCTTGGAGATAATTTTACATCCAATTACATAGAATGCATTCACAAGACCTCTGCTGGATTTGGGTTTTATTAGGTGGTTGATGTCAGAGTTAAAAAATGTCTTCGAGAGACAGTAAGATTTTTGGAATGTCCCGGTACCCTTGACTTTTCTCAATCTGTCTGCTAGCATTACCTCATCGATTCCTTCCTAGAGTGGAGTAGGAAACATATTAAACAATAGCTTTCATTAAATCCCTTATTATTAAGTAAAAGCGTAGATCCATTAAAATATAGATCTGTGTAATGGTCAGTAACTTTATTTTAATCAAATTCAATCCAGCAGTGTGACTTCAGCCTTTTTTTTTTTTGTCTGAGATATTGCTTTTACACAATAGAAAATGTCTAAGCTCAGTACTTTAAAATAATGAATCTTACTATGTGGAATAAGTAGAAACTGGACAGGAGATGAAGTTGAGATATGAGATAAAGTCTCATTTGATTTTTTTGAGCCAGAGAGTTTCTCAGTAACGATACAACTCTTGTTGACTCAGTCAGTAAGCAAAATGATTCACCTGCAGACCATCCTGTACTCAGTGCTTGTCTGCTTCCGTCGGTGCTGCTGCTTTTGCAGGCCAAGCCTGCCATAACCAGCATTCTTAAATATAATTTAGGGTATAATTTAGGGTAGCTTTGTCTATTACTAAAAGATCATAAAATGCACCTTATGTTGAATACAGGAAGAAAAGGGCACAGAACTGAGAAGCTTTTTAAAAAATGTTTTGAAAACGTGGGCCTTATCCAGTGTAGAGAAGGGATGAGAAGGGTTGGTTGGTGGCAACAGCACCATGCAACAGCCAAGGTAGCTAGACAGAAGGGGATGGGAAGGATTCAAGGAGTGAATGCAGCAGAAGCTTTGCAGTCAGAGCTGGAGAGGATTACAAAGACACAGGTAGCCCACATGGGGCTGCTAATGATCAACCTGTTCTACCAGTTAAGGAATTTGTATTATTATTGCTGTTTAAAATGCTAAAAGAATAATGCTTTTTGTGTTATATTACCTCCATAGGCTCTTGGTGATGAAGGATGGTCTGTAAGGTTTTTGTCTTGCATTCTTGTCACTGAAAGATGAAGTCAGCTTATTGATCATCCACTTAGAATACTTGGATCCTGCTTTTAGCCCAGACCTCGCTCATTTAGTGTTTAATCATCATGTGTGTTGTGGGTTTTCTTGGGGCTCTTGAAGCTTTCCTTTTAATTTCTTCGTTACCTACAGCTGCAGGATTGTTTGTGCAGTCACACTGAGCATATTGCTTCTAAGCACCGTCATAGTTCCTTTGAAGTGGTAGTTTCAAATGTGGATTAAGAATTCCCAGAAAACTGCTAAAGAAATAGCACTCGAAGCACACACCACACATACCATCCCCACAGCCGTCTGCCATCAATTCTGGGTAAATATTAAGAAAAATGCTACTCTCTTTTAAGTTCAGTGTGGTTGGTTCATATTTTGTGAAAACGAGCTGGTAACTCCACAGCTTCAAAAGAAATCTCAAAAACTCAACAATGTGTTTTATATAGCACCAGGCTCCCCGTGGCCTTCACCACCACAGCAGCTGAACGTCACCAGCAGTGGTGTGGCTCCATCTCTGCGGGACAAACCTCACCCTTCGGGCACAGCTTCCTTGGGGTGAACCCACAGAGGGTGAAGGGAGGTGTCACTGCTGCTTTGGGTTTGTGTGGTGCAGTGGTTGAGCTCTCCGTGCAGCAGGAGGAGTAGCTGCTGCCTGTAGCAGATCCTTTGCTGATGGTCAAAATAATGTAGTTGATGAATTAATGAATTGAAGCATCACACTGATTTGAAGTTTGATAGAAGCCACTAAAATGCATGTAAAAAAATAAGAATTGCATACTTGCATAGATTTTAGAAATTAAATTTTAGTACCATGTTCCAGGGGTGAGATGTGAGCCACGTTAACACTGTGAAATCCATTTCAACAAACTCACACCTGAAAAGCTGCCCAAAAATAGCAGTTTCTGAAGGGCTTCTTAATCTGATGTTTTTGGGGAACGAATTTTAATGCTCTCCAGTGGTGCAGGCCAGTGTGAATGATGGCATGTCCTAAAGGAAAAACATTTTGGTAATAGGCCACTGAACCACTGCCTTTACAAACCACTTTGCTGCTATTTATTGTGCCATAATTCTTTGCTTCACAACTGGATCTCAGTTGATTCTTGCAGGGAGCACGGTGTTCCTTCTGTGAAAAAAATACATGTGGAATTATGGTGACTGACGTAATTGGAAGCAGTGCTTAAAGGTCGTTACGTTGTTGTTGTTTTTTTGTCCAAAATTGTATACAGCATAGATTTAGCTAAATTCTTTAGAATATAAGCAAGGCAAGGAGCTGCAGTGATGGGAAAAGGGCTGCGCCAGGGATCAGTTGTCCTGAGGTGGAGAGGTCCTTTTTGTGATTCACACTGTGCCACATGATTCCCCTTCCCTTTGAGAGCACAGCCTGGCCAGGTGAGCTCCCCACGGCAGATCTACCAGCCGTGCCTTCCGGCCCTGTGGGCCTTTGTTTTGCATATGCCATAAATTCCATATCCGGTGACTATATCCTGTTTTTGTCGAGGGGTATTTTGAATTACAGTTCCCAATCAGCATTTAAGTTAAAACCTGTGTAGTGGGAATCAATGAAAATACCCTGAAGTGGCCAAGAACACGGATAACTGAGCAATGATTTCAAAATCGCCTGAAATGAATGCTCCTGGAAGCATATTGCCACACACCTGATGTTTCTTGGGACAATAAAGCAATGGCTTTCCTCCCATGGGTGTATCAGAAACCTGTGGGACCGTGCCCTATAATACACCCTGTGCACAATAGATCAGCTTTGCACAAAAAAAGGCTTTAGCATCTTGAAAGGGACGCGGATGTTAGGGAAATTTGAGCAGCTTTGGTGTTGACAGCCTTCCAGTGGATCACAGCAGAACTGTAAAAAGTTTATTTGCAGAAGGCTTGTAGGATTTAGCTCTGAACAAGCAAGGTTTTTTATAAAGTGTGTACAGAAATAGCGCTATATCTTTAAAGTACAACCAGAAGCTGCCTTACAAAGAGCAACATTGAGCAGAGTTAGGAACGAGCCGTTCGAAGATGTTGCAATTCCTATTTTTGAAAGCATTAATTTTAACATAACAGAATGTCCCAAGAAGTGCTTTGCAGACAGCCTTGGTCAGCACGGGTACCGGAGCGTAGCGCCAGGTAGAAATGATGTCAAACGTGTAACATTTCAGCTTAGTAATCTGCAAGTGAGTTGTTTTCTTTCTTCATTTTCTAAAACCAAGTGAATGTGCCAAGCAGCCTTTTAACCCCTAAAATGTTTCTCTCAATCCTGACCATAAAGGAGATGTATTTCCACAATTTCAGACCACTGGATGCAGATGGAGTGTAAGTTTCATCCAGTGTTCTGAAGCCGAAGTGGCAGCAAGGAGCTGGAGCTGCAGTTCCTCCCTCTGTGGTTTTCAAGCCCAGGTTTTGCTGTGTGTGAACGTTCTCTTGGAGCACCTTGGGAGCCCGTCCAGATCTGCTGCAGCGCAATCTATCAGGGCTGAGTCAGGCCCAGAGTCTGAGGTCCGCTCTGAGTCACCGCAGCAGTGTCCGGGTATTGGTGGAGCCTCAGGGAAATTGATGGTTTAAATACTGTGAGAATCTTTATC